CACACAGGCAACTTACTTCTCTTTGAGTGTCGTGCTTAAGCAGGTCAAAGCTTCATCTTGAATCGTTAAATTTATTACAGGACGTCTTTGCGCATTTGGATCGTATAAGTGTACCTGTATGAAATTATTTGTGCATCAATAATGTGTACTTCTATGATTGTAACTAGTATGTTAAATTAATTTTACAAAAAAAAATTGTATTCTTTACATGCCCATATCTGCCAACAGTGGCTATTTGTTGAGTTCCTGGCAAAAAATTCAAATCCGATATCCAAATTGGTATTCTTAATTCCAGCCAGTCATGCGAAAGATTTTTCTCACTGAATATTAATTCTTGCTTTTCTAAATCAAATAATTTTAGCCTATTTTCTAGTCCTCCAGTTGCTATTATGTTTTTTTGTGTACACGAGTGACGCATTCTACTTAAATTTTCTCCAGCATTTATTAATATCTCCTCTTTTCTGTCAAATGGCCACAAACTTACTTCCCCAGATTTGACTGCTATCAAAACAGATCTGACAAAATCATAAACTACATTATTAATAATATTGGTGCGTATTAATATATCCTTCTCTTTTTGAATAACTTTACCTGTCATATCGTGATATTCCAGTAATACTTCCTTGACCTGTATTACAAGGAAACGAACATGCGAATGCTAAACTCTCGGAGTCATATATTTTTACTCTGTAAGAAAATCAATCACAATCAAATTTTATCTTATAGAGAAGCAAAAATCAGACATTCTTTTACTATATAATTAGTTAGACATGTGTCACCTTCTGTCCCCCTTTATACCACATGCTATTAAAACTTCTCGTTCGTCATCGTTGCCCCACGCGACAGTTGTAACTTGATCATTTTCCGTAATAGAAACCAAGTCCTGTATATTTTTAATTATATCCGTCTTTCTTCCAATTTTTATTCCTACACAATTTACATTTCATACGAATAAACAGTATATAAATATTCAACTAAAGAATGCAGAATAATTTATATATATATATATAAACATTTCGTTAAAAACAGGTTATGTAACCTACAATTTTTTAAATTTACAATATAACGTACTTGTGAAATTTGTATATTATTTACCTTTCAAAACACCCGATTTTCCACCCACGAAAATATTAAAATTTTCCTTGTAACTCATTGTAGGTGCGAAAGAGGAAAAGTTATTTAGGCTAAGATCCAAAACGGCGTAAAATTTCCTCTCCGAGGAAAATTTTACTCGATGGCCAGCCTGGAACCTGGAACCAATCAGAGACGCTCAAAAAAGTTTCGGAATGACCATCGGAGTAAAATTTTCCTCGGAGAGTACGTTTTGGAACATAGCCTTAGTAGCAATTACTAAAAGTTAATCCTATAAACTATACGTCGTATGACGTATAATGGCCCTCGCACACTGGACGCGATGAGCGATGAACGATGGGCGATATCCAATGAGAGCTTTATTTTTTCGAAAAACCAGAGCTCTCATTGGATATCGCCCATCGCTCATCGCGTCCAGTGTGCAAGGGCCATAATGCCCGTATCAGACTACGCATTGAAGATTGAGATTGAAGATTGAAGATTGAAATTTGACCAATCAGGACAAAGAAATTTTAGTTCCTTTTGTTCTGATTAGTCAAATTCCAATCTTTAATCTTCAATCTTCAATTTTCAATGCGTAGTCTGATACGGGCTTAACACCTAGCCTTGCCTAGCGCCTAGCCTAGCCCTAGCCGCCGAGGCACCGAGGCTGAGGCCGAATGGCCGAGGGACATCATTCCTGGCAATTCCTCGTGTCCAGCTGTTTACGCCGATGCGCGTACATATATGTATGTACATACATAATTGTGTTATGTGAAACTGCATGAGAAAACTCTGTTTTAAATTGCTTTATATAATCATTGATTCGCTCGTCGAGTAATTTCTATGATAAATCCGTGCGAAAGACGTTACTATTTCGCCCCTGTTATTGAATCGCGTAGGTTGTACATGCAACGGCATCGATCGCGAAAAGGGAATGCAGAATTTTCTAAATTTTCCGACTTTTATGTGTGCATCGTAGAGATTAATCTCTTTATCTAATCAAAATGTCACTTCTGGTGGTTGGTCGAATCCTGTTAAGAGAAAAGTAGCATCTGGAATGGCTATCCTTGAGCCTGGATGGTATTATTATTATTATTATTATTATTATTATTATTATTATTATTATTATTATTATTATTATTATTATTATTATTATTATTATTATTATTATTATTATTATTATTATTATTATTATTATTATTATTATTATTATTATTATTATTATTATTATTATTATTATTATTATTATTATTATTATTATTATTATTATTATTATTATTATTATTATTATTATTATTATTATTATTATTATTAGGAATATCTATATATATGTAATATTGGTGAAACTAATTTTACGAGGGAATATATGGTTACAGGTATTCCAGCATGGGTCAAGGTCACGCGATATCAGTGCTGGCGCGCGCGTATCATCATTCTGGCGAAGCAAAGTACTTACAAGCCGCTATTAGAGGCTTGCGACCTTTTAGACTATCCTCTGCTAAAGGAGGAGTGGCAGCGCTGTTTTTAGGTAAATACATCTGGTACGAGGAGTATCCTACAATCCCCTCCTCTTTCATTCTTAACGGTTTTATTTATTCGCTTATCGGTCTCTACGATCTGAAAATGATTGCGACAGTTAAAGACGCGGAGGAAGCGTCGAGACTCTTCAATCAGGGCATGGCATCGTTAAAGAATATGTTAACGTTATACGATACCGGTTCAGGCACAACATATGATTTACGTCATTTCACTTTAAAAACAGCACCCAATTTAGCTAGATGGGATTACCATTCTACTCACATTAATCAACTCCTTCTTCTCAATTCTATCGACAATGATCCTATTTTTATTACGACCGCAGAAAGATGGATAGGATACATGAATGGCAAAAGAGCGGCACACAATTGATCTATGCATTTAGATAGAATATTCCATCCCTTTCTTTTTTCTCCTTATTTATTTCAATCATTTTTTTATTATCTCTTATATATGTGTATATGTGTGTATGTA